GTTTCATCATTGCTATCCTGAAAAATGAAATAATATATGGAAATATTTTATGTTCGACGCTAAAAACGATCGAAACAAAATATTAAAAGTACCTCTTCACCCTCCGAATCGTTGCCTGCAGGTTTGCGTGCAGGATTATAATTTCCATCAACTAAATCTTTGAAATCTATTATATGCTTTACAGTCTTAGGATCGAAATCAGCCTAAACGTAACATATCAAACTAATTAAAATTAATTTTCGCGGTAACAAAGTTCTAAAATATCCTACCTTTATCAACTTATCAGCACACTCTTTCAATTCAAGCTTTAGTTGTTCATTCTGTGTTACATTTAATTCTAACGTAATCAGCTCTTTAGACAACAGTTTGCAAAGTTCCTTGTTGGTAAGATTGTTCAGCATTTCTTGCAAGAATGTGTGAGCAATTTTGTTGTGTATGTAGCCCTCTGTTAGTTGTGAAGTCTCCTGACGCGTAGAGTCTATGATAAAGCGAGTTATGGTCTCAGGACGTATGTCGTGCAATGGATTCTCATATGGTGCTCCTAGCACTGTTAACACCATAGGCAGTAGACAAGGTTGCAGTAAACCATGCTTCTTTCGCAGTATCAAATTTTCCAGAAATACACCCAATATTTGATTTATGTTCGAATCTTTAGCAGAAATACAAATTCTAGTAATGTCAAAACAAAAATCTTGAAAATCTATATGCTACCTGTGCTCGGATTGAAATATCGCAAAAGTAATTTTTCAATAATATCGCTAGACTTAATATAGCCACGCAATATAAGCCGACAGAAGCCGACTATTATTGCACTTATTATACAAGTATCATCGCAGGTGTCCAGAAAATGCGACATCATATAGATCACATCTACGCCTTGGCCGGCATTTAGAACATTTGAGTCGTCTTCACTGTCCAGAAATTCTAATGTGTTATACAACTGTCGACCGCTTTTCTTCGATTTACTTTGCTCTTCTTGCTTGGCAAAATTATCCAAACCATATCTAAG